CTAACTAGAATTTTCCATAAATAGCTTTGCTACATTTATAGCATAAATGGTGGTCTTGACATACAACATTGCAAGTTGAGAAAAGCGCTGTAAGAAAGAAGTGAGCGAGATAAGAGGAATGAGAGAAATATGTAGCAATTCCACGAAGCGGCGAAACAAAGGTGGCGCCTTCCGCGGACCGCTATTCCTCTCTTTTTCCATTTGACAGCATCCACCCTTTCGCAGACGTCACATTATTAATTTTTCGCACTAGTGATGAATATTCAATTTTCATATTTTACCTATTTGCCGAAAAGTTATACCTAAAAGTAGATACACGTACCTTAACAGTAAATATGTATTTTTATGCGCATACACTTGTGATAGTTGGTAGATTACATCTTCCTTCTGTACCATATCAACTTTAGGTCTTACATAAAACAATATTTGACTACGTTCCAAATGTACCTAAAATAATGTGCTTGTACCGAATGTACGCTAAAATTTAAGAAGCTGAGGAGTAGGTACAATTCAACCTAGTTTTACATCACTATTTCGCACCATTTGTTCGCTTCTTCCTCTTCTTCTTCAAAATTATTCTTTCCACTCTCATTCACATAATAATGTAACGTCACACCCATTTGCTATCAGCTCGATTGGCGCAATCTTGTATTCTATCATTCTTGTAGCAATTCCGAGAACAAAACAGCTAGCACAGAGTCGCATTTATCTTGCTATAATTTTTTGCAAAATATGTGCATGGGCGCAGGCGTTGCATACTTTGCAGCGAAAGGAAACGCTGCTTCCCATGTATTTTGTTGTTGGGTGTTTGCAGTTTATGCAATCCGTGCTACGTGCAACGGCTTTGCAAGATTTCGAGAATACCCCTATTGTAATTAGTTAGTCTGTTCCACGATTAAGTCAGTATACTGAAGATGTTGCACAGTGAAAAAAAGTCGACACTAAACTTAGATGCAAATTTTTTACATATACTTTGTTTATATGGCATCAAACACGGTGTCGTATAAACTCGTGTCAGTGCAGCCCGATTGAAATGCCAGTGTTTATATGCAACAAAAGAAATGAGTCGATCGAGCACACTTTCAAACTGCGTTCATCCCTAAGTAACCCTGTTAATACATGTGTCAATTCTTGAAATTAATAAACATGCAAAAATAATAATTAAAGACTCAAACAGCCACGAAAATATGATCTTAGCTATTAATTTTATAATAAAGCTTAGCCTAAATATAATTTCTAGAACTATTTTAATGTTTTTCTTCCTACAGAGTTACATGCAACAACCGCGTGGACTAATCCCGTGTTTATATGCACACTTAATACGATTCAATAACTCCTAACTCGCATCCAAAATGTGATTTATGGTGGCACGGTTAAAAGTTTCAATTCAATTTAAGATTGTGTTTATATGTGTGTGTTCAAATAACATGGTTTGACTTAGAACGAATTATACCATCATATAAACTAGGTAATAATTTTCTATGGAACATGCACAATGTGTGTACAGGAACGCCGTCTGACCAGGGTTGCCACTGACGAAAAAAATACTTACCATCCACTTGAGACAAATTTACCAAATCTGGAAAATATCGACCAATAACTTTTTTTTAGTTATTTGAATAAAAACTATAGTTTTTCTCTATTTTTTAGTTACTTCAATAAAAATTAAAATTTTTTAATGAGGAACTTTATATATATATATATATTCTCGGCTTCCTTCAACCAAAAGCGAAAGTCATGAAACTAAAGGCATCAACGAAACCTCGTCATTTGAAACAACTTCAACTGGATTTATCGTAGACAAATACAGTGACTCAAGAAAGCGCTTGGTGATTTTTTTTTCAATATTCACAATGTTTTTCAAGTAAATTTTTTTTTTGGTTTTTCTGTATAAAAATTTTGTTTGCGCTTTAACCCTCTGCTACTGACGTTACCGAAGTTGCCCTATTATATTGACGTATAGTCTCTCAGATACCAATTATTGCCGATTTTCGCTATTTTTTTTTGGCATTTGCCTGAAAAATATTAAGAAACTAAACAGAAAGAAGGAAAACTCACTAGATATTCAACATGTTAAAAAAACGTTTCGTTATCAATTTTCGACTACTAATGACAGAAAGCTTAACCTTTTTTTCATAGCAAAAATCTGCAAAAAATTAGAGTGTCTGCATTTACCTTCATTAAAAAACCAGGACAACTTAAGTGTGGACCAGGACACCAGGACAATTTGTCTAAATCAAGACATATCCTGAAAAACCAGGACGTCTGGCAGCCCTAATGTAAGGGCATAAAGAAACAACAATCGGAATTCCCGCTGAAAAGACATTTTATTTCATTTAATTTCCAATGCTTTACATCGTTTAGTGCAATTTGTGTTAAAAAGTAGGTATTGAGTTAAGTTTTTTGGATTTGTTGTTTAACAAAAGACTTTCTCTCACATATGCCAAAGCCAAGCGCAATTTACTCGCATTTCGAAGGCAAAATTGAAGAAAAGAAAATTAAATGCACGCACTGCCCAATTTCCATAAAGATCGTGTCGTGATTTTGGAGACGACTGAATTGTGTGGTTATTGCAATCTTTTATATTTTATTTACTTATTCATTCATTTATTTATTTCTTCCGGCTCTTTTGAACCTAGATCATAACAATTTTTATTTATAGGCTTAACCTAGTATTTAAAATAGTAAATGGAAACAGGATCTTAGCGAGGATAGAGATAGAACACATTAGTTATATTGGAACAGTCTTACAGAATGCAAATAATTTTCTTTTAAATTCAGTTAGGTTTTTACATTGGGTAATACTATTCGGTAATTCATATATGTATGTATGTATGTGTTATAACACATACATTTTTGTTGTTCTGTAACTCAGCTCCTGCTACCGAACTAGTTCAATTAAGTGAACTATGTATTTGTCAATGTTATTGTGGCTTGATAACATTTTATTTTTAATATTTTTATTGAGCTTTGTACCACGATTGTTTATTAGGAAAAATTGAAAAAGCAACAAAGCCTAAGCGGTAGAAGTTATAGCACTATTTCGGAGATCACCACATCTCC